TTTCTTTTTCTTCTATGCCGGAAATCGCCAATGCAAACTATGAATGATAGCTTTTTCTTTTGAAATATGATTATTTCCAATTAGGGCGAGAATCTTTCCGCTGTATCTAGAGTGTTCTCTTTTATTTTTCTTTCAATCACTTTTGGCTTTTGCCAAATAATTGTAACTTCAATTTGTTGGTTCCGCTTTAGGTTGTACGCTTTTTCATTTCCTTCTTTTTGTCGTGGTTTCGTCATTATTCTTTTAATTAAAAAGATACGTTACGTGAAGTGGTTAACTAAATCGAACAAAGTTTAACTATTACAATCAACCTCTACTCTAGACTTAAAACATGTACTGTTAAAATCCGTTAGACGCAGATGGGACACTGGTATATATATTTTTTCTGAAGTTCTAATTACAAATAAAAATATATTTTGGTATTTAAAAGAGCAGCATAATAGTTATTAAAAAAATCTATTAAATTATCGGAATTATATTTATACTAAAACATAAAATTCAAAAAAAGTAGGATTAAAATTTTTTTTTATTCATATTTTAAAATTTTATCAATAATTGATTTTGTAAATTAAAGAAATTTCAATGATGAATAACTGCTTTTCTTAGATCTAAATAAGTGCAAATTTGAAAAATTATACTTTGGAAGTGAGCCTTGTTAGGAAGGTTTTACCTTTAACTCAGAAAAAGACACTACTAAGTTATGCTGTATTTCATAACGAATTATTAAATTGCTAAATATAAAATTTGTCACTTATTTTGACATAAATTAATACAAAAGAAAAAAGTATGAAAAATATGTTTAATAAAAATTCCGCGTCAAAGGTAAAAGATAAAATTGTCGTTATAGACTAAAAGAAAAAGATTAAAAAGTATAATAGACATATTTACGTCTTCTTTTATTATGAACAACTATTTTGATTTGAAATACATAAAAAGAGGAGATTCCTACAGATTGTAGACTGAATTTCCACGCTTATTGAAAGGCAGAAATATCTATGACAGGAATCAAATTGTAACAAGTATTTATACGAAGAAAATTAAAATTGCAATCAATGTTAAAAAATATAATAGACATATTTACCTCTTCTTTTATTATGAACAACTATTTTGATTTGAAGTACATAAAAAGAGGAGATTCCTACAGATTGTAGACTGAATTACTACGCTTAATGAAAGGCAGAAATGTCTATGACAGGAATCAAATTGTAACAAGTATTTATACAAAGAAAATTAAAAGTGCAATCAATGTTAAAAAATATAATCGACATATTTACCTCTTCTTTTATTATGAACAACTATTTTGATTTGAAATACATAAAAAGAAATTCTTGCAGATAGTAGACTGAATTACCACGCTTGATGAAAGGCAGAAATGTCTATGACAGGAATCAAATTGTAACAAGTATTTATACGTAGAAAATTAAAAGTGCAATGAATGTTAAAATAGCAGACTTCTAGTAATATGACGTACGTGTTACATCTGGCTTTTTCTGTATTTCTAACTGCATCTAAAGAATAAGGTTTAATATTCAAAATTTGGGTCTCTTAAGTATATTTTCTTTTGAAGTTATAAGTACAAAAAATTCTATGAAAATTTGCCAATGGATTTCGTAGAAAATGAGAAATATATTATATAGAAATATATACACAGTAATTTACAACTGTAGAATAATTTGCATTGCGAAAAGTGTTTAAATAAAACTTATTTTATTTAACAAAAGCTTAAAATTTAGAAAGCAGTTTACAAACTCGTCATTTATAAGATAATTTTTTTAAAAATTGTATGTGTTTTTTTTTATGATTTTAAAATGTATTTAATAAGCTTTTTCTGACAAATAATTGCTAATAATTTTTAACAAACGTTTAAAACTAGTTTTAGTAGTTTCTTACCGAAAAATATGAAGGTTTTCCTTACGTTATCATTAAAAGGCCTTGCAGAAGTTAATTTAGCTTCGAAATTTCTGTCTTTAGTTTATACAGTTTCGCACTTGTTTTACTAATTCTATTATATTCACTGATGTTCGTAAAATAACCGTTTATTTTCTATAATATGCCATCCTTTTAAAATACGGTGTCCCAATTCATCTATGTCATACACGTCTTATATAAGGCATTTTCCAAAATAAGAAAAGGAATATTTTCTACTGATGGCGGCAGTATTTGCTTGCTGAAATCGCTATTCTTCTTAGCTATTCACAAATTTTAAACTTTAGGATCTAATAATTAGAATTGTTAGTTCTTCGTTGCTTTCCTTAATGTTTGTCACAGCATTTTACTTAATGTTTTCAACTATGACATTTAATTTGCTTCGATTCTAATGAAAATATTGATTTAAATTGTTGTTCAAACTTTGCACAACAATTCTGCTCTGAAGACTGAAAATAAGGAAAATTGAAAATATGAAACTGAATTCGGTCATCTATAATATTCATTATATTGCTTCATTTATAATAGACTAACATAAGTCTTAAAATTAGGTTTTATGTTAGGCAGTTAGGTTTTATGTTAACAATAAGCCTTAAAATTAGGTTTTATGTTAGGCAGTTAAATTAGCAAATCTGCTGATTCTCGTTTCTTGCTGTTGAAGTAAGCCTAATAGTTTTTGCCGTTTAAGTTGAAATTGAATATAACAGGCTGAATTAAATTTTTGAAAAATAAATCTTTTAAATCATGAGGAAGGTTATCAGAGAAAAATTCTTTTTTATTCAATTTTATTTTTTTTAATTTCAAAGTTCGATGAGAAATACTGCTGCAATAATTTGTATACCGTTTAGCAATCTATTCAATGCATTGTCTAGGAAAAAAGTAGAAATTTTCAAAAAAAATTTCTATTTGAATTTTATTGCAATTTTGCATAAATAATTTTATAAAAACAATATTAAGATTAAATAAGTCAGGTAAGTCCTAACTCACGGAACCTTAGTGAACTTTCCACGGAACACTATTTTGGGACTGCTGCTTTATACTATATTTCAACTAACAATTATACAACTTTGCCTGTTTGATTTTATTCTAAACTTCTTGATTTTATTCTATCGATTATTTAAACGATTATGTTTATTCTAGTGTGACTTTGTTTCATTTCTTCCTTGAAGCTAAAACAGAGTTTTTGTGTCAGTGTTACTCTTCTAAATTTAAATGAGCGGCTTAACTCACCCTTCAACTAACCATAGACAATCTCTTATATAATCTTCTTTGCATCATTATCTTCAAACCATTTATGAAATAGAATTACACATCTACAAGCAAAACATCTAATAGCTTATTTTCTCAGCTTTTCTAATCTTTTAGTTTTCTTTCAGTTTTACCTGTGTTGCAGATTAGAAAAATGCTTAACAGATCGATGTTTACGATGTTTTTTAGTTGTATTTAATATTTAAAAATAACCTTTGTAGAAAAATGTTCGAATTTTTCACTTTACAAAAATTTCCAATGACTTGATTGCCCACGCAAAATCTCACTGGTAATCAAAATATCTTGGAATTAGATTGCTTCTTAAAATTTATAATTGGTTGAAAAAGTATTTTCATTATGATTATCCAGTTTAATGATAGTTCTAAGTTGTTGATTATACTTATTAATAATCCATTTTTTTTCTACTTGCTACTCATATAGTCTTGGTAGCAGAAACCCACAACAGAGGGCGCAGCAGGATCTGCAGATTCTTTTTCATCTTAACTTTTAATTTTAAAAAGCAAACAAATAAGGGGAAATTGCTGAGACTCGTTTTTAAAACATCTCTAAGCTTGTTTCTCATAAAAATTAAAAAGCTCAATTGAGAGAACATCGCAAAGAACAAAATGTTTTTTTTTTTTTTTTTCTGCTAACAGTTTAGGATTACAAGCTTAACAGTATAGGAATTTATTCTATTTTGTTTTTAGTATCAATGTATAAAATTCAACTTAAATTTAAACAACATACTGTCTTTATGTATAATTTTGAACGACCTCACATTTATAAATTTTGCTACATAGTACATGTTAGATTAAGTTGAATTTTTACAATTATTATCTTTGACTGCATTGAAGTAGCAGACAAATGAAGATAATGCTGCAAATCATAAAGATATTCTGCAGATTAACTTCGTAAATTCTGCTATCGGGCATTCAGCTTATCAGTTAACTAATAAACAATGCCCAAAATTCATGATTTGTGCCTGCAAGCCAGATTTATACTCAACAGTCTTAAAAATAAAAAAAAATATTTGACTAACGTGGGCGTATCAAAACTGTAGAAACCGTTTTTATTATTATTCTTATTTTAGAACTAATATGTTATTTCATACATAACCCTGTAGTGCATACTTAATGAAGGCAAGAAAAAAACGCAATTATTAATTGAAAATCTATCTTCTTATCACTTATCAAATGATAAACAAATTGTGTTTGGGTATCTGCTGGTGATAAAGAATATAAAATTTTGTTTCTTTTTTTTATAAAGACATCCTTTTTTTTTAATGTATACTATTCTTTATAATAATAATTTTATAGTATAACTTAATGTTTTGCTTTATGAATAAATTAACTGAGTAATGCCAGATTTATTTTGTTTACATTAGTTTTTATGTCTTAAGGAAAATCCATAATGTCATTTTTTTATTATCTTGCTTACATTGATAAACATATAAATTTGCGAATTTTTGTTAAATTTTGTTAATTTTTAAATTTTGTAAATTTGTTAAATTTTGCGAATTTTGTTAATCTTGGAAAATAGAGAATCTGTTTTGATGCGATTTCTTTTTTATGTGTGGCGTGATGATTGATGATATGATGTGACTTTTTTTTATAATGTTTCTTCATGTGTAAGCACAAAATACAACTCAAACCAAAGTGTTTTTTTTTTAACAAAAAAATATTTTGTACAATAATAGTAAAAAATTGCAGAATCAACTAGAAAATTACTAAAAATATCCTGCCAAAAAAACTTATTTTATTTAAAAAAAATTTATAAAATTTAGACATGAAAATGTTGATTAACATTTCCATATTTTTCTTTTACAGAAACCAGAAAAGAAGGTTCCGCCTGATCAGAACAAACCAGGTGTCCAAGAAAGTGCCTTAAATGTTGATCAAGAATTTTTTTCGAACTCCAACACAATGGGTTTAGGCAATAACCCAGTTTTGGACGAGTTAGATAGCAACAATGAGCAAAATATGGTAGATGAATTTATACCTTTTGAAAATTCTCCATTAAATTCACAAAACAAATCATCTACACCGATGAACAAAAACAAAACTTCATCCATTCTTAGATTACGAAACAAAAATATTTCTCGAGCAGAAAGAAGTTCAAAAGGGAAAAGCACATCTGAAGTCTATGATAAATTTTTAAGAAAAAGTGAAAAAAATGTAGAGTTGAAAAAACGTCCAAAATCCCAATTTTACGATATTGACGAAATTGAAACAAGTATTAGTGGGACGAATTTGATTGAGCAAAGCAGCGTGGACAGTATCTCTCATCCAGCATTGAATAACATTGATCAACTCTCTGAATTATCTGAACCATCTGGTGCTCTGAATTCTAGAAACTCTTCTTTGCATACCTCTATCTCTCAACTTTCTCCTGCAGATAGTTTGTTGAAAAAATTTCGAAAAAGTTTTGCTGTGCGGTTTAAAAAGAAAACAGATTTAGTATCAAATAATTCAAATAAATCCCCTTGCCAATCGCCAGTTTTAACTCAAGAACCCATTCCAAACTTTCAAAGCTACTTACATGATTCAAATAGCAAAGAAATCAGCAACAAAGACTTTTCAAATCCATCAGTTCAGTCTGGTAAAACATGTGATATTAATGTGCCACAAACTGATTTGCAGAAAAAGATCAATTCTTCTGAGCATTTGAAAAAGCAATCTGCTAACATTTCTAATTGTAGAATAAAAGGCAAAAAAAAGCAAGACTGGCGAAGAAGCTTTTTTTATGATAGTGTTGATAACATTTTTGATTCTAATAAGTCAAGCATTAATAAATCATATAAAATGGTAAGTTTAACAAAAGTCGTCACTTAACATAGTGATGAGTTAGCTCTTTGTAACCTAACATCCCTTTATTTGAAAAATGTAAAATAAAAGCTTTTTTTTGCAGTCTTTGTATATTTATTTTATTTTTATATTTTTTAATTGAAGATTTTATTTGCTGGTTATTCAATTCATTGGAATATGTAAATAATTGATGTGTTTAAAACATTTTATTCTTATAAGCTCTCCCCCCCCTTACTACCCCTTTTACTATCGACTGTAGTAACTAGTTACATTCCTTCATAAAAAATGGTTTTTAATTTTTGTTTGGATAATTTATTTTTCTTTTAACTGTTCAATCATAGATTTTCATATCTTGTTTAGTGTATCTTCATATCTTGTTTAGTGTTAGATTTAAAAATATAAAAATTTCATGTGTGCAAGATCAATTAGATTATTTAAAATTATTTTGAAAAATTGTTTGTTATAAGAGTTAAACCTGTAAAAATTTTCCGTTTTCCTATACAATAATTGCATTTAAATCTGCTTCCCTATTGTTCTTTTTAATGTTCAAAGTGATAAAAACCCAAGAAGCATTCTAACACGTTTTAATTTCTATAATGAAAGTTTACTATAGAAAAATAATGTATTTATTTATTTTTATAGCCTCAATTTGCTGGAAGTGATGCAAATATTTTAAGAAAAAGAACTGCATCCACCTCAGACTATTCACCTAAATTTAAAGATATTCAACAGCCTTTATCAACAGTAGATTCACCTTCTCCTGAAACTAATTGCACAAAATTTTCTGTAAGTACAATTATTTTATTACTTATGTTTAATAGTTTTGACATAGCTTATCATGTATCCCGGCGTGTAAGTTGACTCTTTAAACCTCAAAATTTTTCGATTCTGGGGGGGGGGGGNTACCTTAATGAAAATGTCGATGTACATCTATGTATTTGAAAACTATTTAAACAAGGAAGCCCTGTAAAAATTTTCCATTTTCCTATATAATAATTACATCTAAATCTGCTTCCCTATTTTTCTTTTTAATGTTCAAAGTGTTAAGAACCCAAGAAACATTCTAACACGTTTTAATTTCTATAATGAAAGTTTACTATAGAAAAAATAATGTATTTGTTTATTTATTTTTGTAGCCTCAATTTGCTGGAAGTGATGCAAATATTTTAAGAAAAAGAACTGCATCCACCTCTGACTATTCACCTAAATTTAAAGATATTCAACAGCCTTTATCAACAGTAGATTCACCTTCTCCTGAAACTAATTGCACAAAATTTTCTGTAAGTACAATTATTTTATTACTTATGTTTGATAGTTTTGGCATAGCTTATTGTGTATCCCGGTGTGTAAGTCGACTTCTTAAACCTTAAAATTTTACGAACCTCGGGGGGTGTTACTTGTGTATAAGCCCCTTATACACAAGTAATAAAAGCGGACGTACGTTGATCATAAAATATCAATGCATTACAAACAAGGAAATGAACAATGTAAATAACTCTATAAATTTAACCTTTTCAAAACTATTTTTATTTGTTATATGCTTTTAAGTTTTCATTTTTTCCAACATATTTTCTTGACACAAATTTTTTTTCATATAAAACAATACTTTAAATAATGTTCAAAAAGAAATTAAAAATTAGAAATATTAAGATAATTTATTCTAGAGTATTTCAAAAAATCTAACACAAGGAAAACTTTTAAAACATACCTTTATTCAAATTTAATGATTATAGAGCTTCATCTGTGTCAGATTCAGGGCTAGTGTATCATATCCAAAGACAACAATGTGAAATATTTTTAACTTGGAAAAATTTTGCAGATTTAGCATTTTCTTTTTTATGATTTATAATGTTAGAGGCTTTTTTATTTGACTTTGTCAACTATCCACTTATACCCCTGACATATCAAAAATTTGCTATCTCATAATCAAAAATAAGAGGTTAACTTATTCAACCATTCAACTTATACACCAGGATATATGGTGCTTACATAAATGTTTAAAAATTGAATAAACAGTAAATTTTTTAAGGCTTTTCCTGGCTGATACACTTTCATTTAAAACATATTAAATCTTTCTTCTTTATATAAGTTTAAACTTATATAAGTTTTGATTGTTAGTATTTGATGTCTTTTATTGTTAGTATAGCAGAACAATGGTAAAATAATTTTTTTTTAAATATTACTGGTATTCTTTCTTAAGAAATGTTACATGCAATTAGTGCTTACATTCAGAAGGCTTAGTGGATGAAGATACCTAGTGAAACTATAAACACGCCCAAAATTTTGTGTTCAAAAGTATGTTAAAGTCTGCTGCACATTTAGAACCCTGTCTTTTTTCCATAATAGCTTTCATAACAGATACCTATAGCAGCATATATCTTTTAAGAGTTATCTTTAAAAGTAGTTAATAATTTGTAAAAAGGGAAACATATTTTATGTTCTGATCTTGTTTCTGGTTTGATCCAAAACAGAAAAAGATACTGTTTTTATATTTTCGTATTATGGATTTCTAGGATCACAAAAATGAAGTTATTTTAAATGCCAATTCCAATGCTGTGAATTTAGAAGACCACCAAAAAACAATTACTAGTCTTGATCAGGTAATGGATAATTTTCATATTTAATTTTTAAACATGTTATCTTAAATCTGTTATTTATTATTTCATTTCTTTTTCAGATATGGAGATCTAATCCTGTGAAACTTTGTAGAGTTCATTCTCGATTATTAATGTGTCGTCACAAAGGTAGATACCGCTTACGCCGTTCAATTAGTCAACCAGTTGAGCTTGAAATGTCAGGATCAATGCACAGTCTTAAAGAATCTACGCATGGTAGTTCATAGTTTATAATCTTACTGCTAACATTTTATTCCAATTTCAATTAATTTTTCAACATATATTAATCTTTGTACTATTATTACTTAGTATGTGCTGGTGAACAATTTCCCAGTTAGTTGTGAAATACTAAAAAAATTATGACTTTTTAAAAATTTTCTTTAATAAAGGAACCTATTTGAATATCCTAAATAATAAATACAAGTACTACTTCCTTTAAATTCTGAGCTTAGAGTTCCCTCAAATTTAAAATAAATTCAGAAGTAACTTTTCTGGAAGCAAAAAAGAAAAAAAGATTGAACATACCTAGAAAACAACTACATATCTGTGAATTAAGATAAAATTGATTCTAAAAAAGTTATTTTTTAACATAATATTGAGTAAAAAAAATTTAAGGAGCTGAACCAAATAAATTTAAGTTTAACTGTTTGAATAAAGTGGGTTACACTTGTAAATTTATGGTAGAATTCTTTATTTTGTGTCCTTTAACAGTTTCCAAAAATATAATTCAAATGGTAGTGTGAAATCATATCTCACAAATATAGGCTTTATACTCTTTATTTAACTTTATTAAAGCTTAATTAGACCAAATGCGTCAATATGTAATACAATCAAATATCTGAAACATGAATTTCTTTAATGACAATAAGTTTGAAAGGGAAATTTTAGATTCCCTTTCGAACTGTAAATAAATATAATGATTCTAAGTAAATATGAACATGCTTAACATGAAATAGCTTTTAAGGTGCATTCGAATTTAATTACCCTTTGAAAAAATTTGCTTTTAACATGATTTGTAAATTTTACTCTTCAGGTGAAGGAAACCGTAAATCAATGAAAATTGTAATTTCTAAAAAAGTATTTTGTTTGCTTTGTTATAGTTTCATGTATCATTACAGCTGTAGAATAAAATAGATGAATCAATCTTGGATTTTGACTGAACATACCTTCTTGTTCAGAAATATGTCTTTTTCTTCTTCTTTTAATATGAAGGGAGATTTATTTTGCCACTGAAGAGATAACTCCAAACTAAGCATGAATGTATCAACCAGGATAGTAATTTCTTGCTTACTCTCACAGGTTATTCTGAGAAATTGATATCCCATATCTCTCTTTCTTTCTCTGTCTATCTGGATGCAGATTAATATGCATGGAGATAAAATATACCATTTTTTATTAAATTCGTTTAATAGAATAATGTGATCAGCATTTTTTCCCTAAAAAATTTATGGCTATTTTTTTGCTTTGTACCTCAAAATAAAAATTCGGTTCAACTTTTGGAAAACATTTATAAATAAGAAAAAAATTGACTGGATTAGGGATTATTTTATTTGTTGTCCCCTCTAATTATTAAAATGAAAACAGTTACTTTTATTTGAGTGACTTACTTTTTTAAAAAAAAAATCTGCTATTCGAAAATGATAGAAAACATATAAAATAAAGTATTTTTGATCTTATATGCATGGATGTCCAAAAATTATAAGAACAGTCAAACAATTGGAAATATGCTTCAATTCTTAAATCTTAAAATCAAGTGGGGTCATATTTGGGGGTGAGATTGGGATTGGAGGTCTATTGTGATAGCATTAAATGCATTTTTCGAGCAGAGATTTCTGATCCAATGTGAATTTCTTGAAATATGTGACTTTTTCTATACTTTTCAGACACATTAATTTTTGATTGTAAGTTAATAATCTTTATTGACTTCTAAAGTAACCATGGCATTTGTTATAAAAGTATTGAAATTATAACTGATATAAACAATAAAATGTTAACTATAAAATGAAAAATGAAGAACTTTCTGTAAGCATTTAATAAAATAGAATGTACATCATCGTTCTGGTCATTCAAATTAGTAATTTATGTTTAGAAAATATATGTTTTGTATAGTTAATACACAATGTTTTTGTATTGTATGATTAATAAAATAATGTCTGGACTATTAATATGAACTGCTTTTAATATCAAAAAATTTTCTGTACCCTTTTGAGTTCACATTAACAAGGTTAGACAAAAGTTATATTTTTGATAAGTAAGAAAACTTCTTTTCCTTTTTATAAAAGGTTCAGCTGAACATGAAACTTTCCAAAAGAGTAGCTTATCTTCAGATGATGAAGTCTCATCTGAGAGTGATATATATCATAGTTACTGCTGTAGTCCTACACGCCGGTCAAATACTTGTTGGGAAGTAAGCATTTCCGTTTTTAAAATTCATTATTTTCCTGTGTATTTCATATTTATGATTAAGTTTGCTCAGAGTATATTTATGTATAGTATTGAAACTTTCAAAAGTTATCTCTTCATTTTAAGTATTATGTATGTAAATATCAATATGTATGTAAATATTAATGCAATTGGTAAATTTTTTTTACATATATTTAAGAACTGTATCCAAGTATACTTTTTCAGTTGTGTACAGCAAAATATTTCTTAAACTCTAGCATAATTATGAAAGTATTGGCATTACAAAAAACTATTTCTGAGTCATACTTCAAAATAAGAAGACTGCATTATTAACAAATGGCTTGATACGTGTTGCTATTTATGGAATTCTAGTAAATTAATTAAGTAATGAAATATTTATAGCATAAAAAATTACTATGGAGTATGCATATGCTTTTCCTACTTTTCATACTTTAATTTCTAAATCTGCAAGTTTGGTTCTTATTATTTTTATAAGATGCATAACATTCAATTTTGAAATAATAGTGTATTGCATTATTATTAAATTATTGTTTCACTAACACTGACATATGTTTTATATTATAAATAGTTATCAGGAGAAAGTGCTATGTATGCAGAAGCCTTGTGGGATCATGAAACAATTGACACTGAAGAGCTGCCTTTCCAAGCTGGTGATGTCTTAGAGGTTACTGATACAAGTGATCAAGATTGGTGGTGGGGTATAAAGGATGGTCAGGGAGGATGGTTTCCATCTGCTTTTGTCAGAGTAATGAATATTTTCTTTTTAACGTTTTAAAAAAATTTAAATAAAAACCTTTTGAATGTGTTGAATCAGGTATGGTAACTTTAAATGACGCTTGAGTTATAACCAAGATCTTGTAATAAATTAGTGTTTGTTTCAACAGCAATACTTAGACTTATATTTAATTCTTTCATTGATCTTTTTATTCTATAATTTAAAATTTGTATGATTATCTGAATGAAGTTTTAATTTGACAACTGCTATATAAAAGAATATTATTTTACATTAATTGTTGTTATCATCTATAATATAAAATAAATTAATGCTTATAACCTCATTTTTTTCTCAAGTATTTTTTTTTATTATTTCAATGTTATTATTTTTTATTTTTTATATTATGCAGTTAATTTAGTTTTAGGTTTTTTTTATTGTTTTTCATTTTTAATTGAGCTTGGCTATTAAATAATACATTTTACGAGAGATTAATTTTATTTTAACAAAGATTGTTTTTCACACTTTAAAACTACATTATTTGTTTGAAAACTAATTTAATGTGCATTTTTTTTTTCTTTTAAAAAGAATCAATGTTTTTTTAAAAAAATTTTGTATTTTTGTAATTTAGCTATATGTGAGCCACAGAGGGCCTGCGCTGCATTATAATGGTCAAACTACTGAAGAAATTCCTTACTCCCCAAGCAAGGTCAGCATGAATAATCTAAGCTGGGAACAAGTTAGAGCAAATATTGTTCAAGAAATAGTTGCTACTGAGAGAGATTATGTTAAGCATTTAAAAGATGTTGTTGAAGTAAGTGTATTTAGTTAGATTTAAATATGCTTGACTGTATTAAATGATAAAGTAAGTTCTAAGAAAAGCTCCAAATCACAAACATTAACTAATTTTATTCGCTAAAAAAATAGGAAATAGTTTCATAAATAAATTGGCATAGAGTGAAGAAGTAAAAACCATTTATATATAGTCTACTCTTTTTACTATGACTTTCCTTTACAATGTCCCTTTCATTAAAATGCATGATACATAAAGTCAGTCTCATTTACCATTCCATGAATACAATGTTATTTTGAACACCCAATATAGTACTTAATAAAATAAAAATTTTTCTCCATTTAAAAAAACAGGTACTAAACATGTTTGTGATTCCAAAAAAAAGAAAAAGAAAAAAAAGAATTCTGTCAATGAAAAGGGATTATTTAATGCGAAAATCAAACATTTTCAATTAATCCACTTTGTTAAAACTGTGTTCACAAAATTAATTTAAAACATTTTTCATTGTTTTTAAAATAGATAATGTTTGAGAAGATATTGACATTACAATTACAGAATTTAAAAAGTATTAACTCTTTCCTTGGACTTAAAGTTAGGTAACATCTTTTTTCAGTTTTATTCACTGAAACCTTATTACATGATTTGAAAAATGTAATAACTTCTTTCCTTCATGAATGAATTACATTATTTGCCTTTCTTTAATTGCATGTTCTCATTGCTAATAACAGCGGGCTAGACCTGAAAATTTGAATTTTTAGTTAGTAGCCACTTATTCCTCAAACCTAATGAGTCTGTGACTGATATCGATATGTCCTTTTCATTTAACAGCCGCTTTCTACAAACTTGTTTTTTGCTTGAATAATTTTTTTTTAAAATTACTATTAGAAATAATCTGTGGCTATAAGAAGTTAATTCAATTATAAAAATAATATAAATGTGACAAAATTTAGTTTAACGTGCTGACTTTTAAGAACTTTATTTAAAAATATTTATGAGCTTTATTTAAAAATATTAAATGTAGACATTGGGCATCGTAATTAAAATGATGTTTTTCCGAGTTTCTTTCTGCATTGATTTACTTTTATCATTAAACGATTTTCAAAAAGTTAAAGAGAAAATTGATTAACGAGTGACCGGTTGTTTATTTAATTTAAATTACCACTTTCTTTGTTGACTCGCCACATGACAGATGGCGAGTGGTTATTTCATTTCTATAGCTATGTTATTTAGAAAATATCTCATTATTATTAACAAATATTGATTATTTGATGCCTAGTTAAAAGTAAGCAACCTTCAAATGACATCAGCTTTGACATCTTCATTGCATAAATAGCAGTTATGTATCATTTCATTGAAAAACTTAAAAATTGAAAATAAAAATAAACATTGGTTAAAAAACATTAAAAGATAAAAATAAACAGTTAAAAATGTTAATGATTTCTGAGGCGAAAACAAAAACGGGGTTCTTAGAAATTACCCGATATAAAAATATATACTTATTTATATGTTGTAAAACATTTCTGCAACATATCATTTAGGGTGTTAAGGCTCATCAGTTTTGTGACCAATGTCATGATGGTGGTAATGTAGTCAGCATTGTGCATAAACTGCCTTTCCAGACAAGCTGGTGCCCGTCAATTTGTAGCTTATTGGGCTTTAAGCCACCACTGAGGATCATACTCCAGTGCTTGACAATGACAGTTCAGTGCCATAACCAATGAACTCGCACAGTTCTAAATAAGAGAATATAAATTTTTATTATTTTTATTTTTACATGTTTCTTTATAAATAGTAAGTGTTTTTCTGCATCAGTCACTTTTACTTTGTGCGGGTTAATAAAATAAATTTTATGAGAAATCTTAAGGTGTTCTTAATTTCTTCTCTTTTACCTAGGGTTATTTAAAGCAAGTTCAAAGACGACCAGATATGTTCAGCAAAGAAAGGATAGAAACAGTATTTGGAAACATACAAGAAATTTATAATTTTCAAAGTGAATTTTTAAAACAACTGGAAAATTGTTTAGATAATGATGCTCCACATTTAAGCCAAATAGGAAATTGCTTTCTAAACCATGTGAGTATTGTATTAAGTGGTCTAGTAGCTTTCTTGAGCTTTGTTATCACTAAAATAAATATCAATTTCTATGCATTTATTTTATGTGGACGGACATTATAGCCCATGTTTTTTACAGAGTGTATTCAAAATATTGCAATGCTTAATTGGAATACAGAAATGCAAAAGCTCTTAATAATTTTCTTTTCCTGTCATAATTTTTATTAGAAACTTTTACTTGTTTAGTCTTTTCAAGAGCATTGTTCTTAAAAAGAAGACAAATAGAGGTGCCGTAATCTTTTTCGATCTGATTGGTTTTCTTTAATAACATTTAATATTTAAGGTAGTGTTGCTGTATTCACTGGAACTGTTAGAAAAATAAGAAAGAATAAACAAGAAAGAATAAAGCAGAAGCCTTTGAAGAGAGAATCAAAAGATATCATGTTATGCCTGAAAAAAAAAACTGCAAAGATGCTTGGATAAGAAACAACTATTGAGATAATTGTTATGTTTTATTATTATCGTCTATTTAAGTGGTACCAAACAAATTGAGGAATAATGCAGTTTTTAGTAAAACTGACTGCACATGGGGACGTATTTTATTTTCAAAAACAAGAATAATTTTTTACAGTTAAGCATCAATCCTTGAAACGTCATGCTTCCCTTTTACATGTTGAACTTAATCCCCTTAAGGATTTCCTGTTCTAAACTCTCTACTTTTGTGCTGTTCTTTTTTGCTTCATTTACGCTTTCTTTCATTTTGGTCAATGAGGTTGTCAAAATATACTAATTTGAACACTGAAAATATCAGAAAAGAAAATATTATAGTCATATTTTTTAAGCTAAGTCTCCTGTGCTTAACAACATTAGTATCTTGAACCTATTGGTATCTTTGAACTGAAATTGTTGATGTTGTTTATTGTCTGGAGATTGCTGGTCTCTGAATATGTTGCTGCTTTGATAAAGATTATATTTTTTGCTCATTTTTATCTTTCAAAACTGACCTCTCTTCTTCTTTCTTAATCTTAGAATGTAACAGTTTCTTAACCAAAGCATTTTTTAATTACTTATATTATAAAATTAAATTTTATTCTAATTAAAATTAAAGTAAAAATGCAAATACCTTAGAAAATTAAATATTATGTAATTTATATCTTTAGCAACCCTAACATTCCATTTATAAGAAAAAACCCTTTTTACTGTATTGTTTCATACCTTTTGCTTATATTGTGCAAAGTCTTTTGCTTTTTTTTTTGCTTTAAAAGCAATTAATGTTATTTAATTGGTAAAGATTATTTAATGATGCAGAATGCTATGCAAAACTTTTAGAGCTATGTAAGTTAAGTGTTATATATGTTAATAAATGATGTTTACTTAAGTCTTTGCTTATGGAGCTTTCATGATGTCATTGTGATCGGCTAGTTGTACCTGCCGTGAACAAAAGGCTAATATTAGAATATATACTATAAAATTCTTAGATCTAAATTTTAATCTTAATTTAGTGCATTTAAAAAAATTATATTATTAATAAATATAGCACACTATTATTTATTTAATATAGAAAGAGGAGTTTAAAATGTATTCCCAGTATTGCAACAACCATCCATTAGCTGTTAGTGAATTGCAAGAATTGTATTGTGATTCACAATATATACATTTTTTTGAAGTAAGTACATCATTTAACATTAAGTTTATGCATTATATTTGCTCGTTTAAAGTTTGACAGTTACTATAATTTTTTCTTTTTATAGGCCTGCCGACTTCTGCAAGAAATGATTGACATTTCTTTAGATGGGTTTCTCTTAACTCCTATTCAAAGAATTTGCAAATACCCTTTGCAGCTGGCAGAACTTCTCAAATTTACTGACGAAAACCATCCAGATCATATTCCTGTAACAAATGCATTTGCAGCTATGAAAGAAGTTGCTGAACTTGTGAATGAGCGTAAACGTCGGATGGAATGTTTAGAGAGAATAGCTGAATGGCAGAATACAATTGAAGGCTGGGAAGTTAGTAATCATTCTTTTCAACAATTAATTTTTAAAATATTTATGTGCTGAATTAATGTTTTTTTTTAGGGTCCAGATGTTCTGGATACAAGCTCTATTTTGATTCATTGTGGTGAAGTTACTAGAGTATCATCATCATGGTCCCGTGATATTTATTTATTCATATTTGATCATCAACTTATATATTGCAAAAAGGTGAAAACATATTTTCTTTGTTTTGCTGATTTTGTTTCTAAAATTGGATAATTGCTTAATTAAATTTGGCTAATAATTAAAAAGTCTCTTTAGCAAGGTGTACTTGTGTTAAAATCTTGGATTAATTCTATTTTTTTTATTAAAGTATGAAGTTCAAAAGACAATAAGTTCAAGATAATAAGATTATTATCTCATTTATTATTAGAGATTTACATAGATATTAAAATATTCAATATCATTTATTAAATATTAAAAGTATATTTCTGAAAAGATACATGTTATCCAAAATTGTAAAAGCATTAGTAAACATTTATCAGATTTGACTTGCTTCCTTGCACCTTGATTTATCAAAAATGCCTTAGTTCCAGGTTTTTCAGATAACCAGAATTCATTTCTAAAACTTCATATTCTAAACTATTGTTGCCATAGTTATTAAATTTAGATTTATTTTCTTTATTAATCATTTTAATAACTAAATTATCTGTTGTTCGTTGTTTAAAAGGTTGATGCATGTTTTAATTTATTTATAGGATTGATTTTTTTATTATCATTGAGCATAATGTGTTGATTTTTTGGATGGTTTTGACAAGATAAAATGAAGTTATTTCTAGATTTTCATGTTTTTCACTGTGCCTAACAAAAGAATATAAAATAATAGTTATATCCCGCAGTGAAATCCATGCTCAAAATTATGGGAAACCTACACTCTTCTGAGGAAAATACCCCTTAATGAGTCAGGAAATTTAAATACATTTGTTGTAAATTTTTCTTTTGCCTAATGATCATCAACATATTAAGTTAATATTTTTTCCTTCCTTAAGGCTTTTCTTAGTTAAGAAAATAACTTTATTTTTAAATAATATAAATATATTTTATTTACTCTTATTTATACTTTTTGAAAATTTAGGATATGCTTATTGAATTTAAAAAGATGAAAAAGCACAAAATGAAATTTCAAGTCTAGATAGTTGTTTTGATGTGATTTATATTAGCAAGCATTAACTAATTTGATAATATAGTTAGTTATCCATATTAAGATTGATTGCAGTTAATAAACAATGCAATTGAAATGGCCACACTAAATTTTTCTAATTAATTTGCCATTTATCTGTTATGTTGCTGAGAAATTTTCAATATGAAGCCTTTTGTCTAACTTCTTCGTTTTTATCATGTGCTCTTTTCTATTCTTAGGATCTTCTCAAACGACACACTTATGCTTACAAGGGTAGATTAAACCTTGATCACTGTGATATTGTTGATGTGGATGATGGAAAAGGTATTTTAATTTCGATAAAGTTTTTAAAGTTTATTCAATTATATTTTGTATTTTTGAAAAAATAATGGAATTCCATCTGGTGTGATAACTTAAAAGGTAAGTATACCTGTTATGTTAAAATCAATTATCTTGATTAAGTATATGAAGAAATGTTCTGATGTTCAGGTCATTCAGACTTGAATTGTTTTCAGGGTAAGTTCAGTTTTTATTATTTTATCAATTATTAATGTGTACCTAAAATTTGTTATATGATTTTTATTTAAATTTTCTGAAGATCTCTCAAATAAAAACAATTTCAATTAATTTATTGTGTATTTTTTTATCCTTCTCCTGGCTCAATTTGTTTTCAAATATCTAAGATAAAAATTGTAACTGGTAACATTTTGTTAATTTTATGTATTCTGTGTTTATATAGAGTAAATGTAAGTTATGCTTTTTATGTGTAAGAATGTGCAATCATTTGTAAGACTTTCAACATTCAAATTTGTATTAACATATTTCATATTTTATATTGATTTCATATAAGTTTTGATGAAATCAGAATATCATACCAATATTTAACTCATTAGCAATTTTTTCTCACATGTAAAATTTATTTTATCTATTTATAAGAGTTCAAATGCTAAGAAACTTATTGCTGAAGTATTACAACCTAATTAAATCTTGCGTAGGAAACTCTCTCCCTAAAATTAGTTGCAAATTATAAATGTACTTTAATTTAATATTCTAACAAACTTCTGTTGTTTCAACAAAGTTCTGTCAATTTTCAATTATAAATGCTTAACAACTGTTTTTTGCACTATATTTGCAACATTTTGAACTTGATATTGATTTTGAAAGAAAAGGCTCTTTTTCATACATACATACATATATATTATACGCTTCTTCTATTTAAATATATGTTGAATGAAGTAGACTCTAAATAAAAAGTCCAAAATGAAATATATATATTTAAGTAATTTTACAATTAATTGACAAATCAAAAATTTTTTCTTCCGTGAGATGCAGTACAAAAAGATGTGCTTGATATTTTAGAGTTAATTTGCAAAAAGCTCAACAGATCTGTTCCAAAAACTCGATTCTGGGATGCTTTAACTTAGTTTCCCTTTCCAGTAAGACTGTTGCTTATGAGAAAGATATACTGGATTGCTTTGCATCTGATGTATCTGGTTCCCCTCATGTTTTCAAATATTTATTATTTTTTAATGTTTATATTTATTTTGTAAAGCATTACAACTGAAAAAAAATGTGTCTAACTTTTGCTAAGTTTCTTGAAGCTAATCTGCACTATTTTTTCTTTCATATTTTCAGATTTTTTTTTTAAAATATCCATATTTTTTTTCATTCTTCTTAGGTATGCTGCATAGAAAATACTTTCAAGACAGTAATCTGTAATTTCAGTATGGTCCTCAAACTATTAACTTATTCAACTACTGAAAAATTCCTTTAGTTTTGTTTATTTACCCTTTCTTAATTTTGACTGTTTTCCAAAATTTCTTTCAAACTATCAATTTGAAGGAAAAAATATTCATTATATTTTAAAAAATGTATTTATAAATAAATTTCTTTTCAGTAATTTTGAAAAATATTTCTGCAAGTTATTCAATAATTAAATTTAAGCTATAAATCAATACTTTCCATCAGCTAAATTTTAACAACATTTAAATTTTAATGCATAAAAAATTATTAAAAACCATTTTTATTAATTCATTAATTAAATAACGTATGAGTACAAAGGAAAAAACAATCTCTAGTAACTTGTATTCTTTTAATTTTGTTTATTCTTGACCTTCCTTATTCTGTGAATAAGGTCATCTTTGAAATCTTCAGCTTATGAAATACAAAATGAAAACATGCACAATATATAACACTTAATTGACAAATGCTTAATTTTTTCATGAAATTTTCTGATAAAGTTAAAAAATAATTATTATTACTTGGTCATTCAGAAAAAAATTTCTTTACAACAATTGTTTAGTTTAAGTCTGAACAAGACTAAAATGGTGCTTATTTTTTCAATTTAACATTTTTTGCTACTAACTACCTCACTACAAAATGTATGTATCTTATTAAAAAACTATTAAAATTCTTAATACAATTGATAAAATCAGATTATTTAAATTCCTGAATTTTTGATAATATTAAAATTGGATCATAAATTTCTTAATGCAATTGACTACCAAATGTTATACAGTAAAATAATTTATTATATGTATGCCCAACATTTAAATATTGCTTCAAATACTCATATTCCGCCAAATGCTTAAAAAAATTTCTTATCAATCAAAAATGTCCTTAAATCTCTAATAAATAATGTTTTCTTTAGTATTTAAGACTTATGTTAAAAATTGAAATTTTTAGAATTCTAAACATTTTGTTAATATATGCTATCTATTTAGAATACAAAATTTATGTGTGGTGCATAATTAAGCAAGACATTAGTTTCTAAATGCTCTTTTGTCTAAACTTTTCTAGTATTTCTAAAGAAATTGAAAGCACTTAAAGACTTTAGTCTGTAAGTGTACACTCTTGGCAGCATACCTGAATTTATTTAAGTTCCATAGGAACAGCATGAAACTTCTAAGAATCAATGTTTTTTCTGTTGGCCTGATGAAATTAATTATTTACTTCCAAATTGCTGCTTGTATAGTATACTGAAAAACATGTTAAATCATGTAATACATGCGTTATTCATTGAAGCTATGCTGTAAGTTTCTCAATTGTTTATTGGTTGTAACAAACTTTATTACTATGAAACTTGACTACAACAATTTTTACTTCTAAACAATAAATTGATTTTTTTGCAGATTCGCATTTTGCAGTAACTGTAAAAAATGCATGGAAAATTTACTGCCGTGACAAAGACAAATGGTATCTTTTTTATGCTAAAACTGCACCAGAGAAAGAACAATGGATTCGTGCTTTTAAAACTGAAAGGCAACGAGTTAGTGATGATGAAAAGCAAGGTATAAATTTAGTTAATCTTATATTTTTTTCACATTATATATATAAGCAACTGAAAAACGCATATAAGCTACTTAACATTACACTTCACATTTCAATGAGGTACTTCCATTTGTAACATATGTATAAATATATCTTGTTGTAAAGATTTATCTGGACTTTAGAATGGACAAATAACTTAAACATTTTCAAAGTTATTAACTTTTGTTAATTGCTAACTTTGTGAGATTTTTTGCACCTATATGAAAATTATCGAAATTAATGAATACTTTTCAATTTTTGCAAATTTCTATCTGCCCTTGCGATATAGTGACTTTTTAAATATTGAAAAATTAGATCACAAACGTTTTTAAATTTTTCAAAGATGTTGCTTTTCTTCATATGGATATTTTTGTGCTATTTTCAGAATTAACATAAAAAGCGCTTTCAAAAAATATGTTAAATCTGTCCTAACATTCATTAATAACTGTTGCAAGCTTACAGCAGTAATGAAAATAGATTATCATTTGCCAAAAAGCATTACTTCTTGTGAATTATGCAGAGTCTTAAAAAGGTGAAACATTTTTTGTGTGCTTTCGTCATATAACTAACTGGTTATTAAGCACAAAATCCTTTTAAAAGTGTAGCAAAACATGATAAGATAAATATATCTACTTTGGAGACTAAAAAATTAAAAATGCTGATAGAATTTTGAAATTTGTTAAATCTAATAACTGCACTAGTTAACCCTTTGAGTACTAATTTGTTTCTTTCTAACTTACTGAAATGATTTTCCCTCATAAGGAGAGAAATGTTTCAAGGTTTTCACTTTTATTTTTTTTAATCTTGTTCCTTGATGTTAGTCATACATTTTGCTTATATCATGTAACTTATTGTCCTGATAGATTTTAACAATATTGTCATTTTAAACTAATTAGCTTAACCCCTATGTGTGCTGTAAAAGAGGTACATAGTTTTATAAATTCCTTTAAAATGGAAAGCTAGAGTTAAAGAATTTTCTAAGTTCCATTTCACATTTCTTTTTTTTAATTTGCTGAGATTGGGAAGAGGATAATTTTTCTGCTTGGTACTAAGTTATCATTAAAAAAAAAAATGTTATTTTAAAAATGTTGCTATTTAGCTTGATAATGTATTTAGAAATGTATATTTTCTGAAATACGGAAAATAAAAATAGAAAAGAAAGATTTATTATCAAGTATCTAAAAACTGCTCAAACTAATTCCATATTTTCTTTTAAATTTCTGATTTTTAAAGTATTTATTTATTGATGTTATTCGAATTTTTCAGCATTTATAGTAACTGAAGAAGCAAAACGTAGTGCAAGATTAGCTGTCCAAAATAAGCAAAAGCCTAAGAGGCCTAGAGGTATAATGTCAATTTTCAAATATTTTTGTTCTGAAATATACTTACTGAATATGCTGAAATAGTATACTTGTACTGAAATATACTGTTTTAAGTACTTGTACTGTTTAATGTGGCTATTAACCTTCTGCGGTAATCCTCATGTACATCCTTTCAGGGTATCCGCGCACCTGGAAAGTCATGAAAAATAATGGAAAGTCGTGAATTTCGGTATTGATCAAAATTTGTCATGAAATGTCATGATTTTAACTATTTTTTTTTAAAAAAAATCATGGAAAGTTATGCATTTAGGTCACCAAAAATTCTAATTTTTAAAATGGAATTCAACCCCTCCCCCGATTTCATGGTGTTCTGAATATTTGAATTTGTAACAAAATCCCATCTCAGTCATATTTTATTAAAATATAAAATGTTTTTATCCTGTTCTTTAAAAATTATGGTGTTCTTTCAAAAAATGAAAGAAAAAACATCATTTCTAGAGCAATTATCTTATAAACTTCTGTGGTTTCAAAATTTTTATTTTTTTTTTTAATTTTATCAATTTAAAATTCTAACTGTAGCAACCCAGTCACAGGCAGAATTTTTTTTATTCCGAAATGAAAGCAGAAACATCTGGAGTATTTCTTTTCTTTCTGATGAACAAGAGAAGTATCTTTAGAATATAATTCTGCTGCAAAAAAGAAGAAAAAAAATTGTTTGCTTTTGTATTTTTTTTTAGCTATTTCATTGCTTTACCTCTTTCTTTACTTTGTTTTTTAAATTTAAAATCTATAAATATGAAGATTCAGAGTATAACAGTTTTGGTTATACCTATCATTTCATTTAATGTTATTATAAAGCTTTTTTAAATTTATTGTTGTGCTTTTGTTGGAGAAAACATTAACTTCGTTAAGTCATGAAAAATGCATGAAATTAGTCATGAAAAGTCATGAATTGGAAAATCTAAAATGTAGCAGATACCCTGTCCTTTGCAAAGATTAGATTCTTCTGTGGATCCATAATTTTCCTCTAATTTTTTTGAATTATTTTTTATTAGTAGTTTCTAAGGATGTTGAAAAACAAATACACTGCTAAATGTTTTATTATTAAGCGCTTTTTGAAAAGTATCAAAACTAATATAAGAAAGCATTAAATCTATTGTTCGATAAAGATCAAAATTAAATGCTGGTAATTTGAACTTTTCAATGTGGCTTATTAGGAAATCACTCAGTAACTCATTTTTGTAAAGTTGCATTTTGTCAATGAAAACTTTCCATGGTCAGTTTTTTTGCCTAAGTCTTCCATATTTAAATTACAAAAATAATTTTAGCTTATTAATTTGCGAAACACAGAACTGTTTTTTTTAAAGTGCACTTGTTTTTCTTATTATTTATTTCATGTGCAGTTCTTTTTTGTAATCTCATAACTAGTCATGTGTATGTTCCAATAATAACTTATGAGAATTAAATTGCTAGTTTTTAAACCTAAGTAGTATACTTTTGACAAAATCTGTGCAAATTATGATTCAAGCAATTTTAAAATTAACTTTTTATTAAAGTGATTTTGAATAATATCAATGTGTAGCATTGTTTAGTATTATTTAGAAAGGTGCTTTCGTAAAGTGTTTAATATTTTCCTTTCACATCTAGCCATAAAGTTTTAGCATTAACAATAATTTAGTTTCATCCATCATTACTGCCAAAATGTGAAATTATTTGTGACACCACAATATTGATAATGCTTAATTATAGCAGGGAAACAACTGTCTTAATTATTTTTTTACTGTGCACAATTTTTCACAATCCCCCTAAAATAACTTTCTTTTATAAAATAGTAAAAGAATACAAAATATTTAATTCTAAATTGACAAACATTCTTTGAAAGAAACGCGCTTAAAAGCAGCAGAATTTTCAAAAGAAAGAATAAATATAGCAATAAAGAAAACGAAGGAAATAAAAATATGACCACCGAAGCTTCGGTGGTCATATTTTTATTTTTATTTCCTTCATTTTCTTTATTGCTATATTTCTTTTATAATCTCTGTATTGTATAATTATCTTTCACTAATTCTATATTTATTTTCATGTTTTGTTCTTTTATTTATGTTTGTTTAATCCTATTGAACTGGAAATATAAATGATTTGCTAAAAAAATCTCAAACATGTTCCACTTTAGTCATAATCTTTAACAATTCTTATACATTTACTTTATACTTTTTTGAACTTTTATTCACCATTTTATAGCTTAATTTTTGAATTTTTTCTATTTAAATAGCTAAGTTTGCTAAAGGTCGTCGATGTCATCCAGATGTAGCAGTTACTGAACTTCTCCTTGATTCACCTAGTGCCAAAGCACGCAGTGGAAGCCTTCCTTCCAATATTCATCCTGAACTTGCTATTTTGACTGGTGCTAAATTAGGACCTACTAGAAAAAAAGGATCTGGTTGGTTTCATTTTGGTAGTGGGAAAAAGCCGAAGAGTTAAAAACAACTTTGTCTAACCTTTTGCAGCTTAGGTGCCATACTGGGTTAATAGCACAGTTTTTAAGTGTTTGGTTGATTTGAATGAAGTAAATGAAATGACTGTATTGAATTTTGCATGATGCGTTGAAAAAAAAAAGAAAAATGCGTCTGCACTGTGAACTTTTCCTTAATTTGTGTGTAATATATGTTTGAAACATGCAATTCAGAGAACATCCATGCCAAGAAAATGTATCATTCCAAGTTTAACTATTAACACAAGCAAAATTGAATTATAGTTTTAAATATTATTAATGATTTTAATTATTTTTACAATTAGTTTCAAACTCTAAAGGTACCCTGGTAGTAGAAATTACTTAGTCAATCGATAGCTAAATCTTCATCGATTTAAATTTGTCTGTGACCAGATGTTATTATTTTTATAAAAATTAAGCTAAATCTGTGTGTTCAAAATTGAAATAGATAACATGAATTTTTGTGAATAGTTTTTAATTATCCTAATTCTTATATTTGCAATTTTTACATGGATGCAAATATATATATATAATTCACTATTAAATTGCTTGCAACCAACTAATCAAAAACTATTTATGTAAATAAAAATGCAAACTTTTTTCTAATTTTTTTAATTCCTAAAAATTCAAATTAATTAAAGGAAATTAATTGGAAGATTTGAAAATACAGTGAAACCTCTCGGTAAGGGCCACCTGTCGTTCCATTGAAAATTGGCCCTTATGGGGGGGTGGCCCTTAAATGGGGTGACCAAAAAATAAAATGAGGAAATCAAAATTTATGTAGAAAAAAACTGTTTATTAACATTTTAAGTTTTTATACATGTTTAAAAAAATTTTTAANAATATATATATATAATTCACTATTAAATTGCTTGCAACCAACTAATCAAAAACTATTTATGTAAATAAAAATGCAAACTTTTTTCTAATTTTTTTAATTCCTAAAAATTCAAATTAATTAAAGAAAATTAATTGGAAGATTTGAAAATATAAGCTTCTAAATGCTCAGAAAATCCTTGCACATGCACCCCCTTCTGAAGCAAATTATTTCTTTCTACCTCTCTCAAAATTTTATTTTTTTTAATCATCAATATATAAAAGTGAATTATGTTGAAATGCAAGATAGGCAGAATAATTTGAATCCTTTTGTTGTACTTAATATTTTTTTCTTTTAATTCTTAGTGTCATATTTTCAGTAAAGAAATTGAAAAAGAAAAAGACAAGTTAATAAAATTTATTAACTAAGCAGAAGATAATTATTTAAGTTTATTCTCTAAAACTATTAAAATTTTATTTCATGGCGTTTTGATTGGCTGCAACTGTTTAAAAGGAACCTAGAATGTTAAAATCACTGATACCTTGCAAAAAATAATAATAATTAGCTTTAAGTGGCATTAATGCTGCTAGAGAGCAATTAACAGTTATAGGCAAAATATTAAAAAGAAATGAATTGTAGAAACAACTTTATAAATATAAATTTGAAAATATTGCTTTTCCTGATTTAAGCAATACTCATTGGCAAACATCTGTGAGATAGACTGGTGTGGTTGAATTTAGGTGTCAGATTTCAAAATGGAAAATTATAAATTTCAACAATAAGGATAAAAAAAATGCTAAATTTGTTTCTTCACTTTGAACGTTGTTTAAAAATTACCGTGGTATGAAAATTATACTGTAGTGCTCACTGTATTGCAACACAGTTTCTTCTACCAGAAAAGGTACTTTAATTTTAAGAACTTAATTTATTTTCTCTTCCTGGTGTAGCTAAAAATTTTAATGTGTGAAAATCGGGAGCAATTTCTAGAAAATCTGAATAAAGCTTTCAAAAACGTACGAATGAATTTTTTACACACATTTACCTTATAAGCTGGTTAATTTTTAAACATTTTTGTTTTTAAAAAACATTCTAAGTTAAGGAAAAAAATGAGACATAATAACAGAAGTATACTTATCGTCTAATATCACAATTATTCAAAAGAAGCCAAGCTTTTTACTTATAGTAAAAAATATGGTTGACATAATTTTGCTTATATGCAAGGTGCCACTTTCTAGACCTCTGATCATATTCTTTTAAAATGGAATAATTTTTTTATAATCTTAATTATTTGGACTTCATAGAAAGAAGAAATGAAGTTGATTTTAAAGTGATACTAGCCTTACATATTGATGTAAATACATAATATTATCCCTTATCCTAAATAAAGTCTCAGACTCGTGAATACAAAAATTTATGCAAATTTTTAAATTGCATAACATATCAATAAATACCTCAATAAGTATTTTGAAGAAAAATCTTTAGACTAGTACCAACTTCATTTAATAAATAAAATCATCCTTTATAAATGCACTAGCTCATTATTAAAAAAGAAAATTCGAGCATGTTTTTTTTACCAGCATTATAAATGTATTGCCTAAAAATAAGAATAAACTATTTTAGGAAAATTACAAACTAGTAATTTGATAAACGATTGCCAATTGTACAAAATTTGCTACAGAAAAAAATTAATGCTACATATTCATTTAAAAAAAAGTAATATTTTTCTTGCAAATTCATTGAAATTTTGTGGTTTATTTTGTGGTTTATTAATTAATTTGTATAATTTTTTGCTCATTTTTTTTTTTTGCCAAACTTGTTTTATGTATATATATTTATATAAATAAACCTAATTATAACTGTGTTTACTTTATGAAATTATTTTTAACTGTCCTGTAATTAAGATGAGATCTTCATAAAAATTAAAATATCTCCAATTATATTAAATTTGAAAACTTTGCTCTTTTAACTACTATTCCTATTTATATACCATTTAAAATAATGTTCAATATTGAGAAAACTACCAGTTTTCGTTGACCCTTTCTAAGACTGTGGTAATTATATTTACCACCATGCCATTTGTTATTAATTTCAGTTCTGATGAAGTAATATTGTATAAAATTATTGACAATATGCCCGTTTTTAAGGAATGTAAAAAAAGTTATAAAATATAATTCCTTTTTCAGTTTGGAGTAATTATAAAATTTATTTTACAAATGAAAGTAATTAAATTTCTTACTTTTTTATAAAACCTATTAGGTGGTAGTAAACATACTTCCCACAAGAAATTGTTGTTAAAATTCAAATAAATTTTATCTACTGATCTAAATTATTTTTTTCATCTAAATTCCAAAAGTATTTTAATGAACCCTTACTAGAAATAAATGGCCCATTAAAGGGTTAAATCGCTGTAATTAAACTATTCAATCTTTCTATTTTAGTTTATTTTTATGAAATAGAACACTAACAATAACTATTTTTAGTTGTAACATTTAAAATAGTCTTTGTCCTAGAATTGCTTTCAATTAAATCATATTTGCTTTTGATTTTAACTTAGTATATATATTTTAATTAAATCATTAAATTTTTTCTTCTTTTGAATTGGTTATTAGCCATTTATATTTTGCCCCTCTTCAAATATATTTCTTTATTTAATCTACATAGTATCTTTAGATTTTTTGTGAGGTATAGTTAAACATAAAACATTTTTTTTTTACAGTTTTGTGAAATATTCACTAAAAATTAGCATTTTTACATTATTATTTAATTGAAAATTCTTTTAAGTATTTTAAAGGACTATTACTAATGATATCATGCACTTTATGGAGAAGTGTTACCTAGTCTTTAATGTTCAGCTGACTGCATGTTTTAATATGTAATTTTGTAAATTTATTGTTAATATAAAATTGAATTTTTTTAATGATGTGGTGTATGTTCATAATCACTGTACATAAATTCATTGCTTCTTGTAAATGTTTAAAATTGGAAAGAATTTCTAAACAATTTTTGTGATAATATAAAATGAATCATATTGATGAAATTCTCTTTTATATTTGTGTTTTCTCTTGTTAAAAAATGTTATATTTCAAAAATTTAAAAACATTGAAGTCAAAATTGTAAATTAGAACCTATATTATTGTTTATTGACATGTGGTAACAAAATTTATCTTAGACAAGAGTGGCTTCTGTTACTTACCTTATATCTTTAATATAATTTTGTTAAAGGTTTTGAATTTGAAGTCTGTAATCTTGTTAAAACATATAAATCAAAGATTTAAAGTTTGTTCAAACTTAAATTATTAATTATAAAGGTGTATTTATTGATTAAAGTTATAACTAAATAACTTGTGATGAACATAATTAAGTTTTATTGTTGCGATTTTGAATCCATAATAATTCTTTCTCTAAAAATCAAATCAATCAATTACTAAAAATTATCACATACTTACCAATTGTATAAATTGCATATATTCAAGCACTTGTGGTTCTTACTTAATGTCGCGATTTTTGTTTAACCTAGTCCAGTTTTGAGAAAGGTTAATCTTGCTCTACTCATTTTCACCAAATTATAGCTTATCAATATCTATAGCCCACTTGACTTGTGAATACATTTCTTTTTCTAATGATTAATACTGCCTAGAATACAAATAAATTTCTTTTTATTAGCTGAAAAAAAAGGTTACTGGGATTTTTAGCTCAAAACTGGGTTATTAAAAAAATACTTTTTTTAAATTAGTTTTCTGCAAAATGTATAACCTAAAAATTTGCTGCATTGAAAATTGTTTATGAATTCTTATTTAATAAAAAATTTACTACTGAGAGACTATAACTGTTTTCCCTTAAACAAAAAAAAACTGAGTTTGAATTATTTCTATGTACTTTTTAATTCTATTATTTACCTACTTAATATTTTTTAATTAGCTATACTTTCTTAACTTTTTTTATCCTTAAATTTCATAAATATTTGTAGTTTTTTAAATATATTTTTTTTAGGAACTTACATAATATTGTTCTTCATTGTGGTGAATGTGCTGTTTTGTTTGAATTTATCATGATAAATTGTTTACCCGCATTGCAGCTAAAGTTTTCGTTTAAAAAAAAATTTTGTTAGATTTGTACTTAAATTTATTTTTCAAAATGAATTTTTATTTATGTCTTTTTCCCACCACAAGCTTTGGTGATTCTTTTTGTATTTTTAATTACACAATGTGCTTTTATTTGCTACATTTTAATACTCGTGAATGGGTGTTTTCTAAAAACCGCAGCTAGTGGGGCATACTCCAAATCATTATGACTTCAACTCAAATTTTATATCAAAGCTTTTTCATTTATATGAAAATTCATAAAAGATATGTATTCAAAAATTGAGAACCTAATTAACTCACAATAGTCTCCCAGTTTCTAAAAATGACTCAAATATTATAGTTTGTAAAATTTTTAATCTGTTATTTTTTCACACAGAATTTAGAAAAAAAATTCACCAAATAAAAATTCATGAGCCAAATTGTTTGCATTTATTCAACTAATATTGAAACCATTTGGAGCATGCTACACTGATTCAGGTTAATAGAAAACACATTTATTACTTTTTAAAAAACTGTGAAATAGAATGAAAAAGATATTGTTAAGTGAGAGATAAATAATTTACAGGTAAACAATTTGTTTTATCAATTTTATTTTAATTTTAAAACAGGTCGAATCGTGAAGTTAAAATTTCAATTCGTGTATCCCATTATGTGAAGTTCAGATAATTCGAACCCAATTAATACTAATAT